GCGGGCGGGGGGGGGGGGGGTGGGAGGGGGGGGGGGGGGGGGGGGGGCAGAAAAAATGCGAAGTTCAACACTTAGAACAAAAACAAAACCCACGAACATACAAAAGGATACTCCTTGAAGTTTATAGTTTTTTTAAAAACAAGGAAGACTTTAAACTTTTTAGGGGTCTGGGAGAACACAGACTACTTTTTTCTTTTTTAAATTAAGCCCATTGAAAACCCATTAATAAGTTTGAACAAAAGAAAATTAGAAGTGCTTTACAGAATCACCGTCCATTGCCATATCCAGGAAAGAGCTGAGTTAGAATGGTCTGCAATGTTTCATTCACTTGCATGGTGTAATTTTTGCCAAGATCGTAGCGGCAGGCTGGACAACTGTACACATCGGCTTTGAAGGATCTATCCAAACAGTCCTGGTGAAGGACAAAAAAATAACTGGTTAAGAAAGAGAGATATGCAGTTTAGCTTATTCTGCAAGGCCCCCACTGGAGAGAATGAGATGCCTTTTATATCCTAGTTCACCCAGGTATTGACAAGAGCTGGGAAAGGCTGAGAGCAATGCAAGGCTGGCAGTTGGAAAGAAAACTTCCTTCATTACGTGCAATAGCACATGGACTTCAACAGAGCACATTAGTCATGGACGGAGTATTTAGGTATATGGTAGAGCTAGTTCATTCAATTACATTTCTAAAGATCAAGAATTCCCCTGCAGCTGTTAAAGACTGTTGCAGCTTCTGCAAAAACACTTTACATCATTCTTTAAAAAAATAACTCGGAAGCCCATACATTCTGTAACACTGTCAAATCTATCAGTGTCACCTAGCAGTATTACTGAGCCCGCAGAGAAGCTCTCATTATCTTTTAAAGGAATCGGATAGTAGCGATACAACAGTGGAACTTTCTTTAAAGCACAGACTTTTTTACGCCAGAGAACTTTCATCAAATCACGAAGTTTTAAAATATAAACTTGCCTCATGCCAAAAGACTAACTACTGGCAAAAAAGCCAAACAAACCCCCCCCCCAGCCACCCCCACCACCTCTCTCTCACCACTAAACAAGTCAGCTCAAGGCTTGGCTCAAGAGGAGAGTTGTATCGATTACTCACCTTGCACACGTTGTGTTGGCATACAGTTGTGACTGGCCGAAACACAACCTCCTGACAGCAAATACACAAGAAGGCCTCTTCAACTTTATTTAGAAATTTCTGTAAAGAGAACATTTGAATCAACTTATTGCTACTACCCTCTGAAAGATACAGCCAGAAAAAAACAAACAACCCACCCCACATTAAACACAATGGATTACTTTAGACATAGAACATTTTTTCTATGAAGTTCAACAAGGAAAAAATAGTCACATTAACAAGTTCTTATCCTACTTACTGACCTCAAATACAGTACTTTAAATTTATGCTGTGGATGTCCACACTAAAAAGAAAATGCTATAGGTCTGAGACTGTTTCTTTATGCAGCCAAGAGGTCTGTATCTCGGAATAGTTCACTAATTAATTGTCACTTTATTTGTGGAAAGAAAAGCATGATATACCGGTCCATCTTTGAGAGCTTCTAGTACTTCATTCCACAGTTTTTCATTGGCTTCATCACTTTTTATAAGAGATTTTTGCTGAGATGTCAGCTTGTATGGCTCAACTTTAGTTTTCTTTGGAGTCCCTGTAGGAGAGGTGATGAGTTTTTCCTCCCCACCTGAAAGAAAACACAATGACTTTTTAAACAAACAAACAAAAAGCAACCAGAAAAGAGTAACTAGGTAAAACGCACAAAAACCTACAAGGCTTTCTATATCCACTTGCCTACTCCACAAACCTGCTGATTTCCTTTTCCTCTTTCCTTTCCCCGGGGTATCAAACTCATCATCTCCATTATTTTCTTTTTCCTTATCTTTGTTTGCAACAGCTTCCAAATACCCTTCAGGATACTACAGGAAAACACAAAACAAAAAGCATCCAATGCAAACACGCCAGCTCATAGACTTACAGGCTATTATAGGTCAGAAGAATGACCTCTGGAGGACTGCTCCAGGGAGGGGTTCTCTATTTTAAGCAATAGATCCCCACTCTTGCAAAATGCTTATTCAGACTATAGAAATTCTGTGCAAGAAAGTGAGTTTTGTCTATTTAGCCTCCTGATGTAAAAAGGAAACAACCAACCCACGCGACTGAAAGCACTTGTGTCCCCATTGGCCTAAGGAGGATTCTCTTGATTCTTAATGCAAGGCGAAGCAGATCATCCTCAGTAAGAACATATAATAGAAAAATTCCTGCTATCCATTGAGTTCATTGTCCAGGGGAACCATGATGATGTTCCAAAAGCATACCTGCATTGTTAGACCAAGCTTTTTCATCCTGTCCTTTCCTTCTTTGGTCCAAGGAGCAGGTTCTTCATCATCCCTCCTAAGTAAGTAACGCCACACTAAAAATCCAGATTTCCCTGTCTCAGGCCAGTATTTCACAACCTAAAAAAGTCAGATGCAAGTCCATCATACACTATAAAAAAAACCTCAGCCATTAAGCAAATTATCTTTCCCTAATCCAGCAGGCAAATTCAAATCCTTCTTACCTTATATATTCCATCGTATCTGTTCCCTTCTACAGGAGCATATTTACTATGTTTGCCTCCTTTTACATTCCTCACCACTCGGACTGGCTTTCCAGCTCTCCAGTCCTTGGCTTCAGCTCCATTTTTGTCATTGATGGGGGCACTGCAGTTCAGAGCCAGAGCTCTGTAAGAGAAAGTCCAATCAACTTAGTGTATCTACCAGGCCGAACTCTTCAGAATCAGGGGGAGGATAAAGCAAAGCAAAGCTTGAATGGTAAACCAGCTACTAAGAAGTAATAAATTTAACTATACTATTTTACTCAGAGCAACACATTGACAGAGTTGAGTACAATACTAAGAGTAGTAGAGTACTGACATTGTGCTGAAAAGGATGTAGCCAGGCTTTTGTTTGTTTGTTTTAAATAGTAAGACTTTCAAGTATCTTGTATAACACTAAGAACTCTGGGAGATGGTAATTAAGCCTCCTGACTGGAGACCACATTTTAAACACACTGATTTTTCATTACATTATTCATTAATCTAATTGCACAGACTATCTCCTTCACTCAAGTCCACGCTTATTTGTAAGAGTAACAGCTCAGAATTACAAATTATCTGGTCTCACAAGGTAACCAGTGGCTACAAAGGTCTTCAGGAGAGAGTACGAAAATTTCTGCACTAATTTACTACTCTGTTCCTTAAGTTTCAGTCAGTATTAAATGTAAGACTAACACCATCTACAATTCAGTCTCATTTATAGTGCACTGTAAGAAGCATTGCCATTGTGCAACTAATCTGCAGCCTACAACACAGTTGAAACCTAATTTTGACAGTTTTTCCACTTCGCCAGTTTCTTTTGATACAAACCAGACAAACAATTTTTCAGGTTGACAGATTGCCAGCTACTAAGGTTAGGAACAGAGCGCAAACATCGCTGACCTGTTCATGTTGGTGAGTTTTTGATCACAAGACTGTTCCGCTGTGCGTTTGTTTCCAGAAAGATCACGCCCTCCACTCCCTGTATATGTGAAGGAATTTCCATGATCCTGAAACGTATATGGATGGTTTCGACACATTCACAAAAATAATTCAATAAAAGCAGAAGAGTCTTTTAATCAAGTAGCTTTAATACAGTATTCTCAAAAAAAGGAAAGATGCTTTCTCCATTTAAGCTCCCAGACTCAGTCTATGGTCCTCCCTTATACTGCCAAGAGAGGAGTCAGGGTGACAACTGTTGTCTCGTCACACACCCTAACAGTGCACACCACTCGCACAGGATCTGCTTGGAAGTGCAGGGGCACATAGGAGAGAAGGGTAAAGTAACTTGTGCCTCAGTACTTACGCTGTTACACAACCTTGCAGTCAGAATTAAGACTTAGAACGGCTACTGAGATTTGTGGCTAGCTGTTTTACGTTAAGTTGTAACAGGCATTTGGAGTAAGAGGGTGCAGACTAGTAATGCACCAGTGATCTGCAATAAGAATGAGCAGTAGAGCCTGGTACAGCCTAGTAAAGGTTAGGTTTGGCTAGCAGAACCAAATGGTATATTCAGATGTAGGACTTCTGTCCCTAGTTTTGTTCTGAACACTTCCCTGACACATGAAGATCTGGCAGCATATACCATGAGACTCTGTTCAAACTGTGGATGCAATGGAGACCCTGAAAAGGCAACTAAGGACTCTTGGATTAAAAGCTGACACATGGATATTAAACTTAATTTAGATGATCCTGTTTCTCAGGTTGGCACATATTACTGGATTGTAGTTTTCCTTGGCCTAGGTTTCTTCTCAAAAACAAAAGTATCAAGATGGGGAAACATCTGATATAGAGTGTAAAAAGTAACTAAGGCCAAGTCTTTGTTTTAACTGCAAGGTAGATTGGTTCTCAGGCATAAATAATCAAGATTCACTTACTATGTCATCTTCATAGCCTCCCGCCAGAACCAAGGAATAGGCGCCATCATTACTTCTGCCATGTATACCTGCTACATGGGGCCTGTGAACACCAGATTCGCTCACCTGAAAAAAGAAAAAGTTTGCTAGGCAACTGCTGTCAACAGGCTACAAACGACTTATCTGTTGGTCTTGGAACTAAATTAACTAATAGTACTATTTCAGATTTCTTTTGCATATATTACAGGGTGAAACTGTGTTCTCACCACTACCCTCCAAAAAGGTCCAGGTAGAGGAAAGAAAAATGCTGTTAAAAAATAAGCTGTTGAATATTTCAGTAAATCGAACACACAGATATTTTTTGTTATGTGAATTTAGAAGTTTGGATCTTTCTCACTGAGAAAAAGCTCCATTAATTCAAGAATTATATAGACATTAAAATTAAATGTTTGTATAAGGGGATTGGTTTTGAAAGACTTGCAATAGCAACCTTCACCTAATACTTGAGAACAAGATCTGGATAGGGCAGTGCTTTTTCTTCCCTAACTCTGTAACAGGATGAGAAAACTTTCTGTTTAATATTTCTATACATATTTGAGAGAGATCTTTACCAGGACAACAAGCGGGAGATACTACACATATCCAGGACAAATTACTAGAGACAAATATGTTTGGGTTGGGGTTTTTGAGTTACCAAAAAAAGCACTAAAGAAAAAAAACACTTGAAATGCCTGGACAATGCAGCATTAGTTATGGAACACTTGATTTAGACAAAGCCAGAATTCTTTCCTTTCTGCACTTACATATCCAGCAACGTACACTCCAAGATTAACTGTTTCAGGTTTCTCATAAGAGCTGGATCATTCCCATTTTTCCCTACAGTGACTCAGGCCAGGATTCAGCTTCATACCTGAACTCTGAACTTCCACATGGTGCCAACTGGAATCCCAGGAATCGGTCCATAGTGGTTCGAGGGGACAATGGTACATTCCTTTGTGCGACCAACACATGCCATGCCCTGTTTCAAAGAGCAAGACCAATCAGCCAAGAATTACAAGGAAATAACACACACTATTCTTCAAAATAGAACAGCTTTTGAACTGACCTTGCCCCAGTCTCTCCGCGAGGATGAATTAGCAGATGCCATCTTTTGTTTCTTTTTACTTTCTTTTAATTTCTCTCCTGCTAAAACCACCTCACTTGCATCATTTCGACACTCGGGGCAATACCTAAAGTCACCAGTCAGTGAAAATTAACTAGTAGCAAAGCCTTGAATTAAAAGAGAATTTCCTCAAAACATACTGAGTTATAATGTTACAATTTCCCCATGTGAAACTAGGCAGGACACTGAAACAACTCTCCATGTTGGAATTAGACCTGTGTGAGCTAGTGTCCTTGCACAGTCTTCTAAGCTGTGGCAGATGTGTCAGGAAATTAGCTGTATCATAAAAGTCATTGTATAAAATGCTGAAACAGGACACAAGGAATAAAACGGTGTATCTCACTATCTACATGTACATAGATAGATATATTCCACTATCTATATATCTCCCTATATATCTATCACCATATATATTTCATATATAAAACAGTATATGTCACCAGCCTAATATGGTGACAGGGCCTGCGGACTACCCATAAGTGACACAAAATCCATTATACAAGTTAAGCTTCCTGGCATCAGGTTTGCATTTGGTTTATAGGTAGCTCCACTTCTCTTTGAATAGGCATATATATCCCCAAACTCGGAAGACAAGTTTGAAAGCCACTGGTTTAAAACATACCAAAGCTATGAAGTCCTACAAAAAAACGAAAGCCACACAAACATGTCTTCACCTCGTACAGTCACAATATTGCCACCTAAGGGCAGCATGAAGCCCTAGACCTCACTTTCTGCTCCTAATTAGATGGTAATTGTGATACCACACACACATACTTAGAACTTACCAATCCTCATCATCTGGTATACTACTAAGGGGAGGGTTGAGGCAGTAGATGTGGAAAGCCATATCACACTCATCACACATTAGCTGTTTATCTGGATCTTGTTTACCTCCACAGATATGGCAAGCACAAATTCTGCAGGTCTTGTTCGGGTTATCCTTACAAGCTTTACACACAGGTCCATTTTGTCCTGTTAGCAAAAAGAAACCAGAGTCTGCTTCAGACTCCAGTAAGTGCCCAGATACACTGGAAATGGTCAAAGGAGTCACAACGACAAGTGTCTTGGAACTCTTAGACCTTTGATCCTCACAAAGACAATTAGCAGAATATCACAAGGTAAGACTGAGAAATGCAAGAACTAGGCAACAGACTCACGTTTTAATGGACTGGCACTAATTGGACAAGCACTGCCTGGTTCTTCAATTTTATAAATTTCATCCACCAATGTAATTCTGCAGTCATTCAAGGAATCACCAGCATCCCTATAAGGACAAGTTGATAAAAAGCCAGAAAGATCAGACTTTGAAAGTATCGTACAGCATTAATTCACAGCTGTGCATGTACATCGGTAATGCAGACTGGTCTGGTATTAGTCCTGTATCACAAGAAACCTGTTCCAGCATCACAGTGGCATGACAGCATCACCACGAATCAAATCTTTTTCACGCAATTAAAGTGTACCCCCTCTTGTCTCAATGAGAATCCAGGCACTTGTAGCATTCCAGTTATCATTAGTGACTGCTGTCCCCCCAAATATATTTCAGACTAACTCTTCTCACATTTTATAGTTAAAAAGTCAAAATCAGTGTGGTGAGAGGAAAAAAGAGGAATATTCTGGCAACCATGTGAAACTTATCTGAAACTTCTAAACAAATATATACTTTTTTTTTTTCCTGAAGTTGAGAGTCCCTTATATGTAGGCCTGTTTTCTGCTTCAGGACTGAACTGGAGTAATTTTTCATCATCTTTATAAAGTGATGCTTCAGTCTACATTATCATATCTAGCATAAAATATTACACTGAAGTTTTTGTAAAACCATTATGGATAGTTAACATAGTAAACAGTTCTTTGCCTCTTAGCAAATACGGGGGCTTCGCATCCTCCCAGCATTATGTGAATCCACAGATCAGCATGCCCTGTGATTCCTTGAAGTGTCCAATTCCTCCAGTGGAAGTTAATCAAAAGTGCAGTACAACGACATCAATCACCCAAAAAGGACAGTCCAGCTTCTCATCCCTCCCCAGCACTTCTGTTGCACCATTTTTGTTGCATCAGTTTTTTCAGTGGAGTCGCTCAGACCTCATGAAAGTTTAAGAAGAATTGGGGAATTCAATTTATTTCACATTATGAATTTGCTTACCCAAGTATTATCTTTGCATTTATCTCCTTGATCATTTTCGTTTCCCTTTTTTGCAGAATCTCCGCATCGTACCAAAAACCTCTCTCTTTTGGTTCATCGGGGTTATAGTTGACCATTACCACCTGTCCTACTTCTAGCTGGTGCCACTTCAAAATAGTCCGTGCACGAGCCCTTACATCATTCGAACTCAATTCTACAACTCCATTCTCTGGATAACTTGAAGTAGAAGGGAAGCACACAAGGACAGAGAAGAAAAGTCAGATTCAACATCATAGTTTTTATAAGTGATAGATTTTATCCAGACAGGTTGATTCAAGAACCAATACCGTGCAACGTACAAGAATACCATCAAGAATAAAATCTCCTTCTCCCACACAGACACAGCCAGAATCGGGCAGTTTAACTTTGCTGCTATTGTATCCCATTTAAAACTTGGATAACAGCATTTCATATTTCTAAAAACATGATTCCAACCCCCTGGAATTCCAGTTGGAATTCTGACTGTAAAACAAACTTACAGTTAACAGGGCTCAATAACATCATTACCGTGTCAGCCCAGTTCTGTTTTACCTTGTGGATCTCCACAATAAAATTTCCCATCAACATCATGATCCAAATGACTTTACTAGCCAAGAAGGTAACAAAACTCACTCTTCATATTTCACGTGATATATTACATCTTCTTCAGGAACGGCTGTCGGCTGATCAGGATCTGTGCAACTGTCAGCTGTTTCATTTCTAGGTTTTTTTCTGGTTACATTTACGACCTGGGCTTCAAACCATGCTCCCATATTCATATCTCGAGCATCGACCAAGTCATTGATCTACACAAAGCAAAGTATACAGCTCACCAGAATGGATTTTCAAATTAAGCATTAATTTCCAAGTCTACTTGAAGATTTAACCATCTCAAGAACTTCACCATTATCAAGATATCAATGTGTACAGACAGCTTTCTTATCTAGTACAAACCATTGTTAGTTCGTCTCTAACAGACTTTTAAAACTGTCTTGCTCATAGTCTGGCAAAGACATCACCAGATCTGTAATAAAATCCATTGAAACAGACAAGTAAAATGATTCTGAACAGCTGGTTGAGATTTTCTTTTGTTCATTTGAGAAAGTTTCAACTTTGACAAATGCAGTGACTCCAAGCAAAAATATTGGGAAATTTTTTTAAACCAAAACAGGCGCTCTGAATGCCTTTTATTTTTGTTAATCAATTAACGTATTGTAGTTTTAGTTAAAAGGATAAAATGAAAAATAAAATATTTTGACCTACAACATGTTGCATTTAATTGGTTTGTGGGTTAGTTGGTATTTTTTTGTTTATTGTTGGAGGGTTTAAGAAAAAGAGAAAAAAAAATACCCACACAATTGAGGCATGAAAGATTTTCAGAAATTCTCTACTACAGGGAAACAATTCCCCTCCCAAAGTGCAGTTTTAAGTAATCTTAGCTTTTTAATGACTCACCTTATAGAGGCCAAATCCCGGGTCAGTCCAGTCAGCCTGTGCCGCTGTGCTCGGCTGTCCCTCCAGTTCCATGGCACCTTCTCCATTGTGAGAGCTTTTGTCAGATTCGCTTTGGCCTGAGCCGCAGCCAGAGTCTGTGTCGGAGAGTTCGGAATCCTTTTCCTTACTAACAGCAGGAAGCACTGCTGGGCTTTGTCTGACCAAGAGTTGAACAATATCGTTCAGTCCAACGCTGTAATCGAAAAGGGAGTGACCATCTTCCATCTACAGGGAAAGCATCAAAATAATCTGGTCATTTCATTCAACCGAGGTTTGCCAATTCAAAACCACCCATCATGCTGTAATTGTCTCTATGTGCCAAGACAGACCACATTGCTTGAAAACCATTAAGGATCAAGGGACTTGGCAGTTCTTCAGCACCACAGTTACTTATAGACTGTTATTCTTGCTATTTAAAATGTTCTTTTTTCAACGGACTCTACAAGCTAGAAGAACAAGACTTCCATACCGCGGTAGACTCGCTACCCAGATTAAGCCACAGTGTTCTAGGAGATCTGAAACGGTTTGCAGTACATTCCCTAGAAATATCAATTCTGGGACGAAGGACTTAAAGAACTACAGATCCCCTACATTCCTATCAGGATTTAAAGATAATTCCACGTTACCTACAAACTCAAAAGGAAAGTCTTTCTTCCTTAATTCAGACACATCCCTTAACACAAACATTAACGCAGACTGGTCTTTATATTTTAAGTGTGTATGTTCCAGATTATTGTTACAACACCACTCCGTTAAATGTGACATTAAGTAGAAGCCAAAGAGTTAATCACCCACTTTTCTCTGGGCAAGCACACAATTTTTCCACTGAAAGTATAATCAAAAAAGATTCAATTCAACTTGAAACTACCCAATCACTTTTTAGCGTAGCCAGGCATGTCCTAATTTCACACCATCTCTAATTTTAAGAGTTTATTTTGCAAGTCTGGCATCGTATGTAGTCAAATCAAGATCCTACCCCTGCAAAAACTAAGTACAGAGGACTAAATAGGTCTCTCAGTTACCCTTCAAGAACTCTGAGGAGCACTACCATTTTAGAGTTAAAATGTAATACTGGAGACCACAGCGCAGTTTAGAAGTTTAGACAAGCTTCACCACATATTTAAGGTCTGACTAAGAAATTATACAGGAAATGATCATCCCCTTCCAGCCCAAACCACCAGAAAAAGCAATCCCCAGAGCTTTGTTCTCTATCGGGGGGGAAACAGAGCAAAACCACAAAAATTTACACTTCACAGGAATCACCATGATAATTCAATTCTGATTTATGGCATAAAATGGCTATGAAACAATCCCTGGAAATCTGACTGTACAGGAAGTGATCTGGACTTTTTCTGGCTTAGAGATGAAAACTCATGGAGATACACAAGAACAAACCAGAAATCGGTTGCTTCTTCTTAACAAAGAGACAATATCACAAATATGGTATCATTATCAACGGTAGTTATCACCAAGGAACACAAGTGACAACAAGTGCAAACAGAAAAGGAAAAATGGAGAACATGAACAGGACATGAACCCTCAGGAGTTCAAAGGACAGTCTGAAAGAAGCACCAGCATCTGAAGACGTACCTCTAACAAAGGAGGCTAGTTTTTTTAATTAACACATATTTTTCTAACATAATTTTAAAATTTTAACTAATACAAACTTGAACATTTCTGATGATTCAAAAAGCTAGACAAAGCACAAATGAGCGCAGCAGGGGAACGATGACGAAGAGAGGTTAGATCACACTGGATAAATGTTTCTGTTTAAAACCACACCTAAACTAAGAACTACTGGAATTACACAGAGAGGAATTATTTTTGTAAGGCAAGTGCATTCTTACTGAAAAAAAGGTACCACTTCTACTGAAAATCTGTTTAACCTTAGTTATCTACAGATTTCAGTGTAAGTCTGACAATTGACATGTACCCTGGACTAATCCTCCCTTATCACTTTATCTACAACCACAAATGGGCAGTTACTGCACTCGAATCTACACTAACGCAACAGAAAGGAGGTGACACAAGCCCTTCAGAGATGCCACATATTCCTACAAGACTCGGTTTTTACTACTACTGGTACCCGAGCTTGTTAGATTAAAGCTGGTCCAGATGTATTTCCATATCCTACAGTCACACCTGCTAGTTGTAACGTACAGCGAGCTCTAGTCATCCTAAAATGGAGGGAAAGGTGGAAAAAAAGCGACTAGAAGAAATTGGCTAACAGCATCCATCTCACAGTATTCCAACTACAGTCTAAAGCAGCCCACTACTTCTGATATTAATTTCTTTGAAGAACCAACCACTGGTTCAGAAGTTTCTTTAGCATGATGATTTAGCAGTGCAGTACTATGCAGGATATGGAAAATGTATTTGAAAACAGTTTCAGTTGTCTTTTACTGCTATTTTAGATACGTTATTAACTCGTGTGGAAGAAAATAGTTGTACAACTGCGATTGTAAACATGCTGTCCAGAACATAATATACTACTGAGCCACTCAAGATTCTACAGCAAGTTCTGTAACTAAAGAGATTTTGATAAAAGAGCAGAAGAACTTAAAAATCACGAGCCGCTATCCCAATTTACAGAAGAAAATGGGAAACGGGACCTTCACGGCTTTCAGAGCGGTAAAACTTTCAAGAGTCAAAAACTTCAAGGACTTTAAGACCAGAACGCCCCTGGTAATATCTGTTATTTTCAGTGACTTCGCAAAGGCGGCGTCAAGACAGAAAAGCGACACACTAGACGAAAAAATAGTAAGGGAAAAAAACAAAACAAAACAAAACCTTTGCAACTCAACAACAAAAAAAAACCCCACAACACTATCTTGCTGACTCCTCTCCTTGCAGACCCGCCGCCCGAGCAGCGCAGAAGGGAGCCCGGGTATCACTAGATGGCAGCAAAACACCCCCTTTTCACGCAATTAAAAAAAAATAATAATTTAAAACGTCCCTCCCCAGCTGGCGGGGGAC